CCCAGTTTGACGTTGCTGTGGTTTCAGGAGAGCTAACTGGGAAGCTCTCCCACACCTGCAGGCTCCCTCCTCCCAGCTGTCAAGAGGATGAACCCTGTGTGTGGGAAACCATATATTTCAGGCAGGGTTCAGTGAAGAAGTGTGGATGGCAGCTCTTAGGAAGTGCTGTGTGCCCAGACATACTGACGAATATTAAGTGGAAAACAACAGTCGGCTTCAGCCGACTCTCCCACTCATGTAGCAAATTTTGTATAAATAGAATTATTTATCGGCTTCTTTATGGAAGGGGTTTGTTCTCCACCTCTTTCTTTTCCAGATACTCTGGCTACATCCACACCAGTAAATGAAGCAGTGCCAGGACCAGGCTAAGAGATAAAATTTAGCACAGCCCCTGGCACATTTTTTATCTGGGCAAACTGCTAGGCAGAGCTCAAGAGTTAGCACAGGGATTAATACCCAGCAAGCTGCCCAACATAGATCCCTTTTGGGGAAGCCAGGAGATCTTAAAATCCTGTATATGGTTCGGCCATGCCAGCTGGCCTCGTGACTGCCTTGGATTTACCATTACGGATGTGGTCACTGGAATCACAGATGATTTTCAGGCACAAACATCCTTTACCTTGCGCTTGCTGCTCTTTCACTCCCATTCCTAGGAAAACATCTGAGGGTAAAGCAGCTGGGTGTTTGGAGAAGATGATCACAATCTATTTCAGGAAGGAAAACAAGCAAATAGACAGCCCTAAAAAATACTAGTGTTCATCCAAGAGGCAAATGATCATGGGACTGCAGCATATGGAGGGTGATTCTCTGCTATTCTGCAGCCAATTACTTCTTGGATTTCACCGGCAAAACCCTGCTGGTGCTAGTGCGTGTAGTGGAGGAGAGCTCGCTCGTTGAAAAGCCTGAAATCATGATAATCGCTTCTGATCTGGGAGATGTGGTCTCACCACTGAATCCAGACCAACTACATGCAACCCTCTGCTCCCCAGGGTCTGCCCTGTGCCCTGGGGTCCTTCAGGAGATGTGGGAAATGTGGCCAGAGACGCAGACGGTTCCTGATCCTGCTCTCCAACCGGGAAAGGAAAATGTGGGAAGAGCCCCTTCTCCTGCCGAGGCCAGACAAACCTCTTGGCGATCCGTTTCGGGACACGCTATGGGGCAGAGGGGAGCAGGTGGCCAGGCATTTAGGGGTCTGGCAGGAGGAATCTCTGGGCATTTGGCAAGGAGCACTGATTCAGCTGCATTTCCTTCTGCTTGGACACTTCCTAGATGTTCATGCTACTCCTGCTTGATTGGGATGCTGTTTCACAGGAGACTTAATCAGAACAAATAAAAGCATATGGTGCATGGAGCTACCTGCTTCCAGAAGCTGGCAAACCCTCATTAACCTGTTATCTCTTATTACGATCTAATGCAGCCTCACAAATATCTGTACAACTTCTCTCCCTCACGCAGGGAAGCCCGCACCTCGTTGCCGGGAGATTATATGAAAAATGTTGGTGTGCGCAGCCCAGATTGTGGGTCGGGTTACTTCTGGAGTGGGGAGCAGCAGCTGTGGGTTTGGGAATGAAGGACAGGATAATTTGTGTAGGACCAACAGAAAAAAAATTTGTCAAGCCAGTGAGGTTTTGTTGCCCAAGAAGGCATGTTGTAATCTTCATGTCCTGCACATCTTCTGTTCTCCATAAGATTGCAGCAGCATTTGCTGACCAGTATCAGGGCTGTATTGCGACAGGCACTGTTGAAATACAGGAAGGGAAGGAGCCTGCTCCAAACGTCACTGATCCTTATTTTGCAGGATGAAAAATGAGTCCAAAAGATCGGGATGACTCTCACTGCAACATTCAGAGTTTCCTCTGAAAGAGAGGAGATTTGAGCCAAATTTTTTTTTTTGAGTACAAGTCTTTCGGCTTTGCCACACAGCAGTTCGTTTTCCCTAAAGCACACGGCAAAAAGACAGGAAAAGGCAGGCAGTGGAACCCATCTGAGTGCCAGTTGCTGCTCTTCTCAGGCACATTTCTAAAGCACCTCTGACTTCTTTTTCTCGGTGTAATATCTGATATTGGAGGACTATAGCTAATGCTTTTTTTTTTTTTTTTCTCTCAGCTGGGAGAGAGACCATCCACTTCCACACATTGCCTGGGGATTGCAGAGTCATCACGACTAACACGGGGGAAGTGCTGGGTTTATAATTAGTCCTGGAGTGTGAAGCCACTGCCCAAATTTTCCTTTTCCTTCCCTGGGGAGACAGTGCTATTTCCTGCTGCTCATGGGGCTGAAGCCTTTGCTTTCCTTTGCAGCCACTCTGCAGCAGAGAATTCCCCATCCCTGGAATTGTTCAAGGCCAGGTTTTCCGGGACTCTGAGCAACCTGATCTAGTGAAAAGTGTCCTTGCCCATGGCAGGGGGGTTGGATCTAGATGACCTTTAAAGGTGCCTTCCAACCCAATCCACCCTATGATTCTATGATTCTGTTGAGGATGCTCTTAATAAATGTAACTCCCCACAGCACCTTCAGTCAGGTGAAGGCCACCCCACCAAGAAAGCAGCTGTCCCTCAGCCTGTGGGGTTTGATGGTGTTGCGTGAGGATGTGGGCTTCAGGGGCCATGGGGAGGGAGGGGTGAACATGTGAGAGCCCAGGCAGTGTCTCCTAGGAGATCCAGGGTGGTTAATACCTATAAGTTGATTGCAAGGCAGAAGGAGATGTATGGGGACCGCAGGCTCCTCTCCTGAAGCTGAAGATATTCCCAAAGCACCAACCTTCCGTATGCAATCACAGAGGGATCTCCAGCACCACTCTGCACGGTGAAGGACAGGGAAGCAGCTTTTCATCTTGAACCAGGATAAACTGCACAGTTCCGCAGCACTTTAACAGCCCTGCTCATGCTGTGAAGACAGAAGTTTGTGTTTAGCTCTGGATTCATACCAAAGGATTCCCAGTCTGTCCAGTAAAATGCAGACAGGATTAGTCCTGTGGTGCTTTCAGGCCATCATGTGGGACTTCCATGCCCTGGTAGCTCCAGACCTAGGAGAGACTCTTCTTCTCTTTTGGAGGGGTTGATGATGTGGCTCATTGCCAGCAAGCGTAAGGGGGAAAATTAATCTTCCTTAATACCTTCGCATAAGTCTATGAGAATAAAATGTCATTAATTAGACTTTCAAATCATTCTCAGATATTGAAATCACCTAAACTGCCAGCATTAATAACACATGCAAGTAACAGCTTGGACAAACTCAGAATGAACTCCCCACCAGAGGTGAGTCTGAAAATTCAGGTCACCGTATCTAAACAGCTATGCAATCCTTCTCATGTGCAATTGCCTAGAACAGTCTGTCATCAAAAGCTGCCCATTTGCATCTGCACAGATAGTTCCAGGCTGTTTCCATCATGCAGGGACTGAACAACCTTGAACTTGCACCACCGAAGTAATCACGGGCGGGATGGTACCAAACAGCTATTCATCTCCTCCAAAGAGAGCTCTAGAAATGTCTGATGACCTGATTTTCATGCTTTGTTCTTCTTCAGAGATAAAACAGATGGAGGCCAAGGAATTGAAGTTTCTCCAGGTGAGCGAGACCTGTGGTTCTGCACCAGAGCCCACATCCAGCCCCTGCTCCGGTGTCCACTTCTGGGGAGCGGCCACAGACGACGCAGGTGGCAGAGCCCCTCTCCAGGAGATGTCTGTTATTTACTCATAGTGTGAAGAGTCCTTCTTCTTCTTACCACTGCTTAGAAGTTCACTTTTTCTCAGAAGCACAGTGGTTTCTAGACAGCCCTTCTCAGTCTCACAAATACTCTCAGGGTAAATGCTGGATTTCAGCGTTACCCACCTCGAATTTGGGACTGAATCTGGCTAACTTACTGGTTTTGGTGAAATGTCCCTGTTAATGAAACCACCCCATGCCAGGACCTGTCCTCTGCACTTCAGACATATTCTGGTGACACGAATGTTAAGACTTTTTTGGTCTCCAAAACAGACAGGGAATAGTCTGCTGGACCCCGGAGCTGCTCCGTGGCATTGCCTGGGTCAGTGCTAGCTGCTACAGACCACATCCCTGCCCGCACCTCTGCCAACAATTCAGTGTGGGTATTTGAGATCCAGCTGTGCCCAAGCTCTCCGGCTTTCATAACAGGGCTGTACTTTACAGTAATGGCCCAAGGAAAAGCACTCGAGCTTATGCACACTTGACTCTCTGCATCCTCATCACCAGCTGTAGGATGCTGGCAGTGTCACAGGATGTACCACGCTATGAAAGAGCAGCTACAGTCCACAGTCATCCCCTTTGACAAGAGAAAAGTTTTGGGATAATGCACAGGATGGTAAAACCAGAGGGGTCTGCCCTGTCCGAAGAGTGTAGGCATAAGGACATGAGCTGGTAACGTGCGCTCACAGCCCAGAGAGCCACCCGTGTCCTGGGCTGCACCCAGAGCAGTGTGGGCACAGGGCGAGGGGGGGGATTCTCCCCCTCTGCTCCGCTCTGTGAGACCCCCCTGCAGGGCTGGGTCCAGCTCTGGGGCACCAACAGCAGAAGGACACGGACCTGCTCGAGTGGGGCCAGAGGAGGCCACCAAGATGCTTGGGGGGCTGGAGCACCCCCTGTGAGGACAGGCTGGGAGAGTTAGGGGGTTCAGCTGGAGAAGGCTCCAAGGACACCACACTGTGGCCATTCAGTACTTAAAGGGGGCTTATAAGAAAGATGGGGACAAACTTTTTAGTAGGGCTTGTTGCAGTAGGACAAGGAGAAATGATTTTAAACTAAAAGAGAGCAGATTCAGGCTAGATATAAGGAAGACATTCTTTACGAGGGTGGTGAGACACTGGCACAGGTTGCCCAGAGAGGAGGTGGATGCCCCATCCCTGGAAGGGTTCAAGGTCAGGTTGGACGTGGCTCTGAGCAGCCTGATGTAGGTGAAGATGTCCCTGCTCACTGCAGGGGGGT